CCTTAACAGCAACCCAGTTGAGGTGCTTCGCGTAGCCGTTGGGAAGAGTCAAGACAGCAATCCCGAAGATCTGTCTTATCCTAAGGCCTGACTTGAACCAATACATGATCGACACCTTGTGCAAGGAGGACGGGGACGACAGCGCCAACAGCAGCAACTGTTTTGTCCACGGGTTTTTCAGGAAAAATGGTAGGTTGCCGAACCTATGGTGTTTTTTTGGATATCCCACGTCTGTGGGGTTGTATTTCTTACCCTTAAAATCTCGAATGTATGCCTATTCCACCCGTCTTTTTTAGCAAATCCCCCTGTGTCCCAAACGGAGAGATTTCTGCTGAAAGGGGTACAGAATACGATGGAAACTTTCTTTTCAGACGACCTTGCGGTAGAACCAAACAATGTGCAAACCTGCATCTTTTTGGGGCCTTTTAGTCTATCTTTTCACAGAAGATTTGAAACCCTTAAATCCTAAACTGGTGCTAAACCCAAACAAGAGTGTCACATTCGGAAGGACCATCTGAATGCCTTGCGGGCAGCGTGCGATCGTGCGGGCACCTGAGCAATTAGCTAAATCAGGTAGGCGCTTCTTGCAAGTTTGGGTCCTTGGTTGCTCAACCTAAACGATGCCTGCAAGTAAGTTTTGTAGTCAAGGTTTGTGGTTTCTGAGGCCCATGAATCTGTGCAGGGTGATCATCAGTTATTCCCACCAAGAGGGACACATGATTTTGGGGCATGGTCCGGAGCCTGATATATAAATATGGGCGTATCCTACATAGTGTGGTTGTAGTGAGGAGACCGATGGATACTGCTAGCTTTCGATGGAGAGAAGACAGAACATGTTGAGTTCACTGTACTACCCCCGCAAACCCTAAACCCTAAACCATGGTTCTTCCGTAAGCAAGGTGGAAGCTTAGAGGAGGATAGTATAGAGGGGGCTGGTAAGGTAACCCCCTAAACCCTACACCCTGAGCCCTAAACCAATCAGAACAGGGTCGGACCGCATGATTGATTGGGAAGCCTCTGAGCAGATGAGCACATAATTCGTGGCATTTGTATGAATTGCAGCCCTAAACTCTCTCTAAGCCCTAAACCCTAAGCCTCTTATCCTAGAGTCATGTTACTGAGGCTTCTCGAACCTTAAACTCCAAAGTCCAGAGCGCAGTTTTGAGTCATCATATGAGCTATAGTCCAAACTCGTTAAAGGGGGTTATATAGGGGATTAGGGTTTGGAGGTTTAGGGTTTAGGGTCTGAACTCCTTGAAGGGGTTGTATAGGGGATTATAATATGTGTTATTAAGGGGGATACTAGGAGTTTAGACTATAGCTCATATTCGAATGGTTTGTCGCAGGCTCCGGGCAGCAGCGATGTTCGCAGAATGTGCAAACTGGGAAGTCCATCTTTGGCATCCTGCGAAAATGCTCAAAGCAACACCCCAAACTGATGGCAACAGGTGTCGGTCGATGCGCTGCTCGTGAAGGCCTGGGGCAACAGCTTTTGTTTCCTGAAATTCAGAGATGTTAAAAGAACCACTGTTTGTAACTTCATCCCCGTATTCCCAAAACCTCCCATAGATTGTACATACAGGGCTCCATGGAACTTCTCTCGATATGGAGGGCTCTAATTATAGGAGCCCCAAGACAAACCCCAACGTATTACAATCCTGATCATAGATACACCAAACAACCAAGACAGACCCCAATGTAGCACAATCCTGATCATGGATACACCACAAGAGGACTCTGAATTTACGGAAACGCCAGTATGTAGATTCCGCTGCATGGTC